ACAGCCAACGGTTTCTTTTCTACGCATCATTTTTTATATCCATGCTTCCATAAAAATACCTTCTTTTCTGTTCCACGGAAGAAAAAAGTTATGAGGCAGAGTAAATTATGACAATTTCATTTTTGATGGACAGTCCCTTTAAATGTTCCTTCTAGACCATTTTAAAATATCTACTGGTCATTTGGGATAATGTTTGGGAACTGGTGCTTTCAAGATCTTATTTATTTATTTATGTAATGTTTTAATATGATCTTTTATTCTTTTTGGAAATATTGCTAATATGTAAAAGGTTTCATCAGCCCAGGGCTGGTTTCCTGAGGAACTCTTCTTTGAGGAAGAAGGAGTGGGTTCACAAACCTTGGCTGAGTTTATTCATGAGTGTTGAGCTGTTTGTCCGTTTACAGTCTTTGGTGAGCGCCTGTCCTCGGTTCAATAATATAAACATGAATATGTTGACGAAGGAAAAGAAAATCAATATGGTATGTTTATAATATATCAAGTTTTCATTTTCAACTATTTTTTATTTTATTTCTTTTTTAACAGTTAGCAGTACTTCCAGTCTGAAATGAGGAAGTTTTGACAGTATCAGGGAATCGCTGCAGTCACTAGCTGGTCACGTGAATGTCATGTTACACAGTTTGTTCCTGTTGCAAACTCATTATTCAGCATGTTCAAGTCTTCCAGCATGTGTTTTTATATTGAATTGGATTAAAGTATGAAACGTTGACATATTGGGTATGGATGATTGGTTCTCTTAGGTTCAGAGAACCCATAATGTTTTGACTGAATACAAGTATCATATTTTTCGGTTTTATGTTTCTGTTTGTAAAAAGAAGGACTATTGACCATTACTAGAAGTGCTGTCTTTATACTGTGGATTTATTTAGATTAAATAAATCATTCCAGCAGAGCCTTGCATTTTTTATTTCCCTCGCCCTTTTAATATAATCAATCAAATCACTAATGAGTTTGGTTCATGGTAGTGTAGAAGGCTGGTCTGTCAGCTCTGTCTGCCCCCATTGTATCCCGTCATGAAATATACGGTCTCCCTCCATCTGTCACCTGGTTTATGAATTAGTGATGGTGGTAATAAGTGATGGGCAGGTGGTATGTGCTATCTCTGTCATTATTGCTGGGCTCATGTGCACATGCAATAATAATTCATAACTAAGTGGAGATCCCAATGACCCTCAACCTTTATGAACTGAAAAACCTCTGTAAACCAGCTGCAAAAAATTCATAACTAGAGTCTTTTTAAAAAGTTCATCGGCAGTTCCCTACATGAAATGTAAACCTTTGCTTAGTAGACTACTCTGTGTTTCATTTCCTCAAATTGTATAGTGGCTTATTATACCAGGTTAAAGACAGTAACCTTTGTTTTAATGACAAAGAAACAATGTTTGGATTGTTTTATTATTGAAGATCTCATTGCTTGATGCAGATGTCCAATTAAAACTGTATGTTAAAGGGCTTATTTGCATGCAAATCACAGTTAAACATTTACAATTAAAAACATTTTTGCCCAGTGTCATCGAACGCCTGTGAGCTTTGGCATATCTAGACGTACACTGCCATTCAAAATTTAGCAAGACATTTACTGTACATTGCAACAACAAAAAAACCCATTTAAAATAAATGCTGTTCTTTAAAATATATTCAAATAGAAAATATTTAAATATTTTATATTTTAATATTTCACAATTTGACTGTTTTGACTCTATTTTTTGATCAAATAAATGCAGCCTTGGTGAGCTCAAGAGACTTCTTTCAAAAGCATAAAACAAATCTTACTGACACCAAACTCATCTTAATATTTCTCCCCTGTAACATGACACACTTTTTTTGCGTCTCTCCTGCAGTAACCGGGTGAGCGTGGAGGGGGCGACGCATAAGCAGGTGGTGGATCTGATCAGGGCTGGAGAGAGGGAGCTGGTGTTGACCGTGCTCTCTGTGCCGGCACAGGAAGTGGACGGACTTGACGGCGGTGAGGAAAGCTCAGTGCAGCCCAATTGCGACTACAGCGACAAGCAGGCCGTCCCCATTTCAGTCCCCACATACAAACATGTGGAACAGCACTCAGAGAAGTTTGTGGTGAGTTGTGCAGAAAGAAAGAAAGCATTTGACTTTTTGGCTGTTGTTCAGTGCTTATAATCTGTCATCTTGCTCCTCCTGTCTTAGGTGTATAACGTGTACATGTCGGGCAGACAGCTGTGCTCGAAGCGTTACCGGGAGTTCGCAATACTTCATCAGAACCTGAAGAGAGAGTTTTCCAACTACAATTTCCCAAAGCTGCCAGGGAAATGGCCCTTCTCTCTGTCTGAACCACAGCTGGATGCTCGCAGGAGGGGGTTGGAGGAATACCTGGAGAGAGGTGAGACAGAGGACAGAGAGAGGAGGAAATAAAGTGTCAAATTAACCTCAGGCCTTCCTTTCTTATGTATTATTTTTTGATTACAATGACGAAAAAATGCAAGTGTTGAAAAAAATGCAGGTCTTGTTTGCAATGTGTCCTGGTTTCATTTATTTTCTTACTCCCACCTATAATTTCATCTTACTACCGCTAATAATTTTCCATTCTTTACTATATGTATGTTTAATAAAATGACATTTAAATGCCACTTTATTAAATGCATAAAAAAATTACATTGAAAACAAATTAAAACAAAAATCGATTTGGGTTTTAATAAAATAAATAAATAAATAAAAAATATATATAATTTTTTTTTTAAAAATTTTTCCTATTTTATTTTATTTACCAAAAATGTTTTTAATAGTTTTAGTTTAAGTTAACAACACTGGGTAAATACAAAAATGTTAATGGTTATAAAATAGTCTTCATTGTGTAATTTTTGGGGGGGTAAAATGTGACCTTGGTCTCTTAACTCTTTACTTTTTTTTTGTAACACATTAATTTATTTACAATGGAAGTGGTTTTGCATGCTTGTTCACAGAGTGTTATAGATGCATGAGCTATGAAATGCACTTCTCGATATAAATATATATCCTGCCTTTCTCTCTTGTCTATCGACATGTTTCAGTGTGCTCCGTGCGGGTCATAGGTGAGAGTGACATTATGCAAGAATTCCTGTCTGAATCAAATGAGGTAAATACAGTATGTGTTTGCAAACATTGTATGTAGATCTGTGTAAAAATAGTTTTGCTCAGCAGCACCGTTTCAACACGTGTCTTGTGTTAAAGAACCACAACGGCATAAATGATGTCGAGCTACGGATAGCGCTTCCTGATAAAACCACAGCCTCAGTGAGAGTCAGAAAGAATAGCACCACTGACCAGGTTTACCAGGTAAAATGTCATAGACTGTGTTGTCTGATAGCCAGACTGTGGTGTGTCTATTCAAATATCAACTCAAAGACCTCAACTGAAGCTCATCCTAGACATAAACAAGTATCGTTTTCCCCTCTTTTTCAGGCTCTTGTCGTGAAGGTTGGAATGGACAGCATCATGGCTAGTTACTTTGCTCTCTTTGAAGTTATTAACCACTCGTTTGGTGAGCGT